GGGGCCGGGCGGGCGCGCGGGGGGCGCCGCCGCTGCCCGCAAGATGCTGCCGCTCTCCATCAAGGACGACGAGTACAAACCGCCGCGGCTGGACCTGCTGCGCAAGCTCTCGGGATGGGTGAGGTGAGCGGCGGGGACGCCACGGGCCGGGCCGGGCTGCGCTGGGCCGGGCGGCGGTGACGTGTGTGTGTCCCGCGCTTAGGTCCATCCTGGCCGACAAGACGTCCCGCAACCTCTTCTTCTTCCTCTGCCTCAACCTCTCCTTCGCCTTCGTGGAGCTGCTCTACGGCATCTGGAGCAACAGGTACCGGCGGCGCGCGGCGGCGGCAGCGCCACGTCCCGAGGCGGCGGGGGCGGCCGTGGCGGGGGCGGCCGTTGCGGGGCGGCCGCTGCCCCGGCCCTCGGCCCCGCCGCGGGCGGCCGGCAGAGGGTCTCGCCTGGCAGCCGGTGCCGGCAGGCGCCTCCTTGGAGCGGCYGTGTGGGACGTGAAGAGCGCTGTGGCAGCGACAGCTGCTGCGCTTTCCGCTTAAGCGTCGTCGTTTGGGGGTGCCGGCACTAGCAGCAATACCTGTTGTGAAGAACGCCTGCATATGATACAACTGCAGTGAAGATGCTCAAGTGACACTTGCTGGAGGCTCGATACTGAAGAATGGAGATTACTGAAATTGAAGGAAGCCTCTTTGTGTATTTTTGTGCTTTGCAGAGACTAAGATTAGATAATAATTAGTCAGACYTCTTGTATTTCAGGTAATTCATTCCAGATATCCTTTTGGCAAGTGTAGGTTTTGGGCTGGTACCAAAGAGCACAGCTCCTGCTGTACCTTTGGTAGGGTGGGATGTGAGGCCTGCTCACAGTCAGAGCAGACACTTTGAACACGGGAAGAAGAGCCCGGCATCCAGCAAATAAGCACCCATGGAGGGAAAACCCCTTCCTGAGCTCTTTGGCCCTTTGCTTTAGAGATGCAGAAGCCAGATGGCTGCCGAGGRGCGTTTCTGCCTTGCCTTGGGACGCAGCGGAATGGGGAAGTGCTTCCCTCTCATAGATGGCCGGTGTCTGGTGCGGCAGTTGTTGGGAGGGTGTTGAAAGCCATCTTCAGTGCTCGTGTTCTCGAGGGAGCCCTTGAGCAACAGGGTAAGCGAGATGAAATTCCCCAGTGTGGAGGCCAAAGAAGGGATCGTGTCAGTCTTTTCTTTTCAGTTGTGATTTAGAAAGGCTTGCTACTAGTCAGTCCCAAACCTGAAAAGACGTGCTTCTGTAGGGGAATCGCTTGTTTTATGTGGGGAGGAAAACTGTCATCTCTGTTCTTAYAGAATTTGGAAGGGGGAATTCTGTTCTAAATCTCACGTATTGCCTCAGATATTCCTTCCTTTCTAGGTTGCTTTGAGCTTTGTAGGATAAAATAGCTCAAAGTTTCTTCTCTGTTTTCATGAGCGATCAGTCAAGATGTGATTGTGCATTGGTCATCGAAATGAACCACTTAACAAGGGCCTTTTTCAGCCTCTGCTTCCTTCAGCTTCTAGATTAAAGGGATGTGTGTGTCTTCTAGTCTGTGGCTTGCAGCTGCTAAGGCAAAGACTTGAGCCCTGCTGAGGTTTGCCGTCCGTAGCTCGGCATCGTTCTAACAGCCCTGCGTGGTTTTGAATTGGCTTGGATCCAGTTAGCTGAAAGCACAGACGGAACAGGTACTTGCTTGCTTTTATTCCCGGATGGACCTTTTCCAGACTGACCAGGGAAGATACCGCGATTGCCAGCAGAAGGAGCGAGCGACTCCCACGTTGACGTGTTGAGCCCTGGCGAAGGGGAGAAGCGGCCGSCCAGCGTGCGTCCAGCCTGCCACGGCGCTCGGCAGCCGCCTTGCACGGGCAGGCTCATGGACTGGGAGCTGCTCGGGAGCCTGAGCTCTGCCAAGTTGTTCCTCTTTCCTCCTGGAGGAGACTCGCAGATCACAAAACAGAAAACCTTGATGCAGCTCTGTGCTATTAGGAATATTAATCTGATATAGTTAGTGTAGCTTTACCGCACTGTATTAACGTACACCTGTGTAAATAAGAAGAACTTACAAATCTGTTCGACAGTGTTTGTTTTGTTTTTAATGCTCGATTATAATTTCCTGCCCTGGCTACTCTAGAAAAGCTAAGGGAAGGATTAAAAAACCTTTATCACAAGAGCAAAGGAAGGTGAGCATTCTCAGAAGCTCTTGAGTATTTTGAAACCAGCACCCATTTAATTCAAATTAAATAACACGTTTAAACTTTTGTGTCCTGTAATAGTAAACTAAGCTTTCTTAGGATATCCCAGATCTCTCATGTACTTTGAGRCTTTCAAACTTGTATATTAGAAAGATCAGTTTGGTCACAATGTATAAAGAGAAATTTCCATTCTGAAAAGCACTCATGTGCTCTTGGCATGTTTTTCAACATATTTTCCCTGGCAGCTGTCAGGATTTTGACTGCCTGCGTCACTAGAGGTGTTGCTGAACTCCATTTTTGAAATATTGGAAACTTTTATCATCCGGTGATTTTGTTGGATTGCTGCCCTGTTTTTGAGGAGTAATATTTAGATTCCTAATATTTGGAGTTCTTGGGTATGTCCACAGCAACATTAGTTTTCATGGTACTGTTCTTTTTCTTTTCGAGTTCAAGTAGGGTTTGGTTTCTAAGAAGCTCTCTGATTGAGGAGGGAACCAAATAAGAGTTTATTTCCCTGTTAGCATTTCCCAAGTTCTTGAGCTGTTACAGTGATCCTGTGTACCTTGCGTGGGAGCTCTGCAGTGGAGAACAGAGGCACGTGGCCTGTGCAGCGTCCTGTGGTTACTGGTGATGGACAGAGGGGCAGCGGCTCCTGGCGCGGCGCCATCTCCTCAGGTGGCTTTGGGTGGTGTCTGAGGAAGGGCGCTTGGTGGGTCCGGGTGCTCAGCACCCTTCCCCGAGCTGTCAAAAGCAATTTTAATAACACACTGGTGATGCAGTGAGAGTTTTCCCCTGGTGCTAGCAGAACTGTCCCAAAATTAAGCTTAGAGACTTGGTTTGCTCTGCTAGTGTGTAAAACATTAAATGTTTGTGTTTTGTTTTTTTTCCCCCATACCTAACATGTAGCTTTAGAGCATAACACGTGTTTTTTGTTTTTTTTTTTTTTTTCTTTTCTCTTCCAGTTTAGGTCTAATATCAGATTCTTTTCATATGTTTTTTGACTGCACTGCTCTTTTGGCTGGATTAGCAGCTTCAGTTATTTCAAAGTGGAGGTCAAATGATGCTTTCTCATATGGGTAAGAAACTTCAGGCTGTTACCTTAATGTATTTCAGTAGGTGTGTAGGTGGTGGTACTTTCTCATTATATGCACACTAACTTTTTTGCAGAATATGAAAAAACAATATTGAATGTTGTGGGGTTTTTTTTTGTTCGATTGATTTTTTAAGATGAGCTATTTAAAGGATGTGACATTTAAAGCTTTAGTGAGCATCCCTCCTAGAAAGGTTGAAAACCTAACAGGATTGCTTTGGGGGGATGAGGTGTATCACTTCGTAGAGCTCCGTGGTGCCAAAGGAAACAGCTGCAGAGCCAAACACTGCCCTGCCTCTGGGGTGCTCTGAGCACGGGGGAACGGGAGCYGAGGGGCTGCCCTGGGAGGGCTGGTTGCACAGCTGAAAGGAGCTAAATCTCCGGCTGCCTCCTCSGAAGCCGTGTGGGATGCGGTGTGAYGGGCGGATTGGCGGCGGGGCAGATTGGCGGCTCCCTGCGCTCCTGACCTGGAGGGGTGGCCCTCTGGGTGCCACCACCACAGTGTCTGCATTCGGCTGAGCTCTCCTCCATGCAGGTGGTTTGGGACTTGGAGCACTGTTTAATTAAGGTGGAAACTCCTCTGTGCCTAGGAGTTCATCTAGGACAAGCGGGTTATACCATGCACAAGCTGCAATGAAGGCAGGCTCTGTGTTATTGAACTACTCTTTATAAGYCGCTAGCAGCCAATGTATTGGGGAACGGCTGCTATGCTGGCGTTAGGTGATATTCTAACCTGGCTCCTTCATTAGAAACATTTAATAGCCGAAATATTTTTTCTTAACCTTTACTAATGTTAAAAAAAATCCTTGTACTAAAGGATGAACAAATTAACATATCATTGTTAATATTTAACAAARCTTTATATCAATAGACTTGAATGTTTACATCCCACCCACATATCTTACCTTGTGGCTTCCACATATAGATTTGTACCATAGATTCCTGTAGATATGTTCTTAAATGGGAAGATTTTAATGTATTGGAGGYTTTCTTTCACTTAGGTCAGGCAGTGGCTGGGGAGGCTGCGTGAACTTACAGTCAGGTCTGAGGACTTTAAGAGCTGTCCCACTAGACTGAGCGGTTGAGGAGTTGCTGAAACTTCTACCAGCACCAAAAGAGTGAATTTCATTGTTTATATACTACATCTTCATTTAAAAATCTCTTGTGTAATGCAAATGCTTGAGAAATAGAAATAATGCCCCAGTTTCTTAGTTCCACTTTCCACTTTCAGCATTTAAATAGCTGATATTTTTGCTTCTTGCAGGTATGTTCGAGCAGAAGTACTTGCTGGCTTTGTAAATGGTTTATTCCTCATCTTTACAGCCTTCTTTATTTTTTCTGAAGGCGTTGAGGTATGTTAATGAGTTCAACTGCACTTCTTAATTGTCACATCTCTATTTGTAGTGGGAATCTAGTGGGAATAAACTTATTGGAAGGGAATGCTTTATATTCATAACTGGTTAAAAATCTGTGATCTAAACAGAAAATAGGGCCATTTAAAATTGTGGTTTAACAAGAGACGGAAAAAGCTTTTTCAGAATAACTGTACCAGCCCTTCAGGAGCGTATTGATTGTGCAGAAAGATTCTGTCACTTATCCTGTGCCCTTTTCAGCCACTGCAGTATTTCATGGAAGTATTTTTACTGCTCATGTTAAAAACATGAGGCCAAGAAAGAAGAAAATAAACAACACTAGTCATTCAGAGAAGTGTATTCATAAGAAATGGAAATATATTCTGTGAAGAAGTTGGAGTAACTTGTTAAAGAACATCATTCACAAAACTTTGAAGTCTGATATAAATGCAGAATATTAATAATTTTTTACCTTTTGCCAGAGCACCTTTCAAAATGCTTTTTATAAGGTGATTCAGATAATAATTTAAGAGATTTAAACTTTAGATATTGAGGTTGTCTGCACCAACATGTGTTAGGATTAAGACAGTGTAAAGTTGAAGGCCGATTCTGATCTGTTTTTTAATGGGAGACTTTTTTTTTCCTGGTTCAAAACAAGTTAGTTCTGATTTTTGAGCTAGTAGAGAATTAGCAAGAGCTTTCAGGAATATATCTTCTATGTAGATAAGTCTGTAAATACTTTAAAAAAATCACTAAAAACTATAGGGTTCATCGTATCTGACATTTACTCTGTTTTCTTCCAAAGTTTTTGAATCTAGATTTCAGGAGTTTAAAGAACTGCTGCAACTTGTGCTTGCTTTCATTACCTTCATCTCCTCACCCCTCTTAGAAGGTGTGAGGGTGACTGAGCAGCGGAAAAGGTTGCCTGGAGAGGTTGTGGTGTCTCCCTCCTTGGAGACATTCAGGAGGMGTTTGGGCACTGTCCTCTGCCACGTGCTCTAGGTGACCCCTGCTTAAGCAGGAAGGCTGGACGAGATGTTTTCCAGAGGCCCCTTTCAAACTTAACCTTTCTGTGATCCTGTGAAGAAAGGATGAAAACAAAAGGCCTTCTAGACTCTTGCAAAATACTTGGATGACTTGTGCAATCCATGTATTAAAATGAACTTAGACGTCTTTCAACAGTGTGGAGCCATATCCCACAGCATAATGAAGCTGATGATGGTCCAATAGCTGTAATGCTATTGCATCATTTTTCTCTGCTTTCACAAATTAATAAACACAAACACACCTTCAGACAGTGAAAATTCTTTGCAAACCTGGAGGGTCGGAATAATTCCTCATTATGTCGTTATGTATGCCTCCTGTATCTGACAGTTTTGTGACCCTGTTTCCTTTTTGTAGTGGCTTCCAACAATTTGGGTTTGTAAAACTTTGTCTTTTTTTTTTTTTTAATTTATTAGAGAGCATTGGAGCCTCCTGATGTACATCATGAGAGACTTCTTCCTGTTTCTATATTAGGATTCGTTGTAAATCTTATAGGAATATTTGTATTCCAACATGGAGGTCATGGACATTCACACGGATCTGGTACGATGCCTGTAACTTTCAGTGCTGTTTCCTCTTGTAGTGGCCTGTGTTCCAGGACCATCCTCCAGTGACAGCTCAATAGTTTTTTTATTTTGAGGGGAGGACCAAGCAAAATGTGTATGTGACTTACTGTAATTTTAAATTTTATTACTAGCCCTGGTTCATCACTGCTTTATTTGTGTTAACACGCACTATCTGGAAGACTTGCATCTCCAAAGTGTGGACGTTTTCTCCAGTTGCATTAAGTGCAGTCTAACTTACCTCAAATGCAGGAATGTATAAAAGCATTTTACTTCTCAAATCAGGTAAATATTTTATACAGCAGTCTTGAATAGACTTTGGTTATATACAGTTTGTATTCATTTTCCTCTAAAAAATTTATGTAAGTCATATCTTAAGATKACCTGAAGAATTAATAGGTTTTAGGTATCTTAAATAATTGTAAGGTTGCTTTTATTCACACTTGAATTCATATTCTGACAGAGATACTTGTTTATAGGGCATGAACACAGCCATTCTCTGTTTAATGGTGGTCTCGGCCATGGACACAGCCATGGAGGCCACGGTCACAGCCACAACCACAAACACGGCCATGGACACACTCATGATCATGGACATGGTCACTCGCACAGCCAGGATTATTGTCATGGTAAGTACCACGTTAGTGGCCTAGACCATCCTGCTCCATTTAAATTTGGTGCTACTGATTTTTCTGGACAGAGGAGAAGCTGCTGGTAGCTTGTTGTAGTGAGCACATTTGGAAGTAATTTGATTTTGATCAAATTTGATTTGGAAGTAATTTCACTAGAAATGAAGTGCACATTGACAGGCTCTTCCGGTGTCTTTTGGTCAGTGCTGTTTCACTTGTGATCTGAACAGTAAGTTCGGCATTAGTTTTGTCCAGTTGTAGTCGATTTCCAAGCTGGTCAAGATACAGTGCACCTTCCTCATAGTTCAGCTTAAATCTTTACTATAAAGGCAAAGCCTCTATGCTGAGACATGCCCATGAAATATGATAGGTAATCCCTCTGTGGGAGAAGAGGCAATGTGTTTGCTGCTTTTGTGAAAACATAAAAATGAAAGAATTACTCTAGTCCCGAGTTGTCCATCCTTCCTGTCTAGGCCATAAACCAACATCTGAGATGACTGAGAATGTTTGCATTCAGAGAGGGTAGAGTGGTGATTTGCAGACAGGAGGTGACRAAGAGTATAAAAAAGTGGCTTGGCTTGCCACTTCCTTGATTTTTTAGTAGAAAATTGCTGCTTGTTTTCCAAGTATTCTCCTGGAGGCAGCTATAAAGCAGGAGCATCCCTGACCATCCTGTCTCTTCTTTGCTGTCTCCTTTCCCAACTTGACCTTTTTACCTTTTGTTCCACAGGAATGACGTCGTATCTGTTTTGTGCATCTCAAAAAAAATGAGTGCATTTTGTATAAATGAGATTTTTTTTTTTGGACCTAGTTTTACCTTCTTCATGTCTTGTCCCTGCTGGCTTACTTTAGGTTGGAACGCTTGCTGAAGTGCGTTATTTCTGTGCAGGAAACTCTTTTAACCTCATTCTTCCTCCATGCTTGTTTATACTGCTCATTGTCTTGACCTGCCTTCTTTTGCTAATATTTGAAAGCTTTTTATTTCTTAAATTGTGTTTATTAGAAAACTATTGATTTGCTTTATCTGTGTGTGGGGGTATTTACCATTGTATAATGTGGTACTCTTCTAAAAACTGTTTTAAGACTTTGATCCTAATTGTTGCATTGAAAACTCTAGTTTGAGTTTTTAGTCATTGCAGCAAGCTAATTATAGTGAGTAGCTTGTGAGTTGAGAGAAGCTTCAGAAAGGTAATAAAATGTATCACGAGAGAGACTTTGTGTAGCTTAATATGCCAATAATTGTCTTAACAGATSACCATTCTCTTGAAGGGACAGCTGGATCCAGCAAGCAGATTTTACAAGGTATGGCAATAGGAAGAGCAGATACTTTTCATTACTCATCTGTTTTCCAGGTAATACCGTTTTCCTAGGGATAGTTTGTGAGTCCCTTCTACCTATGAGCAAAGCAGGGTCATGCTCTGTGCTCTCTCATGTCTAAATGTAATGCTGTGTCAGCCCAGTCTGAAAACGAGATCCCCAAAGCTGTGATTCAGTTTGTTCCCGACACTAAAAAAATAAAGTAGTGGAAGTGTAGAAAAGAGTGGGTAAAAGCAGAAATTTAAGGTATCTAATCACAACATAGGCTCTGGAAGGTAAGGAACCGTTACAGAAGGTATTTGAAAAATGCAGATCAAACATGATCACTGAAGGGCACCTGAGCTTAAAGCTTCCCTTTCATGGAGCTATTCCAGGTGGTTTAGACAAGATGATCGTTCACAATCTCTTTACAGATAATTGGAAGCTGTGATCTCCTGAGCAGTACTTTAAATAAATTACTGATGATTTAGATTTCAGTTATGAGCTTTGATTATTTCCCTCTCTCCTTTTCTTGAGATATTGAAAACTTAGTAGAGAAGAAAGAAGTTGAAATTATTTGACATACCCACATATCCATGCTGTTACTGGATCTCACATTGGATCCTTTTTTGGATTAGAGGTTACACTTGGCCCTTGTTTGCAGCCCTTGCAAGAGGGCACTTTCAAGCTCTTCTAGTACTTTAGTATCTATATTCCGTGTGTATGTACTCAGTACTTTAATAATAGATATGAAAAGATTGACTTTCAAATGAAAGGCATAATTTAACCAAAGTGTTATCAGAAATATTCTCAGTTGAAATATTCCCATTTACGTTAAGAATGCCAAGTTGCATTGATACTTCATCTCTTCACAGGTGTATTTCTACACATTGTTGCGGACACGCTTGGAAGTATCGGTGTAATCATATCTGCTATACTCATGCAGAACTATGGGCTAATGATAGCAGATCCTATTTGTTCAATGCTGATAGCACTACTTATAGGTGTAAGGTAAGCACTGTTACCAGTGATATTTGGTAGTATGTTTTGATGCTAATTACAATAGAACAAATAGCAGCTCAGAACAACAGGTCTATCAGCTCAAAAAATGTGGTTACACTAAGCTTCACAACGTGCTTTTCTTCCAAGAATGGTGTTTTCCTCTATTCTGTACAGCTGTTTTGGTGTGTTTTYGCTTGACTCATCTTGCTCTTCCTTTTCTGCATTTAGTCCTGTTGCCATAATGCAACCAAAACTTCTTGTGGGTTCAGGCAGCAGCAGGTTTCCTGCAGGTGCTTGTGTGAAGCGGCGCACTGCGTTAGCAAGGGGAGCAGAACGCCCTTGGCCAGGAGCTCCCAGCCTGCTGCCTCCAGCTGCTGCCGGTCCTTGATTGACCAAGGCCATCCTGGTTTTCCGCAGGGAGAGAATTGTGTCTTCCTTTGCATTTATATTCGGAGCCATCTCAATTCCATTTAAGATCTGTGTGAAATACTGCAAGTAGCTGTGTGCTTTTGTTGATGTTGCTTACCAGGCTCACTGTAAATGTGGAACTATTTGGATTAGATTAGATGAGCAAACATCGTGTTGAGCGAAGCTGTGGCTGTGGCTCTCCTGGTACTGGCCTTGATGGTGGTAGAGGGCAGAGTGCCCCCACTTCAGTTACAAGCTGAGCACCCTTCTGTCTCTTCACAGTGGTGAAGGTCTTCTGAATACTTGTGGGCACCCTGTGTTCACACCATTTATGGCCTGTTTACACCATCTGCAGGGCAGCTTTCATGGAGGTACTGATGTGAATCTCCCTGTTCCTCAGCGCTGGGCTGCTTGCTTCACGCTCCAGAGAATGCCCAGGAAATCTGTGCTAGACATCATTCTTAAGTCAGCACTTCCATATAAACTCAACATGTTGATTTAAACATCCTAGAATTAAATTGTAAAGGGCAAATTATTAACAAATTTTATTAATCTTCAAAAATGGAAAATAAAATGTAAGTTCCTTTCAGTTTGCTGGTTAAACAAGACCATGCAGACAGGAGGAAACCTCTAATTAATTCCAGATGTTTAATGCTTGAGCTTGGATGGGTTTCCTGTAGTTAGTTCACTTCAAGAATATGCTAAGCTGTCTTTCTGGCAAAATAACTTTGTTAYAGCTGGACTGATCCATACTAATTTTATTTTATTATCTCCCCATTATTTTCTTAGTTCATATGAAAAATATGCCTTCAGCCAGATACAACAGCAAAAAATGATTTCACTTGCATATTTTTATGGTTGCTTGTTTTTGCCATTGAAGTAGGTTTTGCTTCTGAACTTTACCCACCAGCTGCTTTATGACAAATTTTAAGAGACTTGGAGACTCCATCCTCAATCCTGTAATTACGTTGGTGATCTGTGATTGCCCACTGGTGGCCTCTGTGAGAAATCTATATTCGGGCCTTTAGTAAGAGACCATAGCAATTTGGTCCATCTCTTATTTTTTTCTGTAGCAGGTTTTCTTGGCAACTTTATCAGTTTTTAGTGAAACAACTAAAGAAAAATTCTTCAGGAGCATGAAGGAATGTTGTGATGCTGCTTGTTCTGCATGTTTTGAAAATATGATAGTAACTAACTTCCTTATTTCTTTCTAGTGTTGTTCCACTTTTAAAAGAATCCATCGGGATTCTGATGCAGCGAACTCCTCCCTCCCTGGAAAACACTCTGCCTCAGTGCTATCAGAGGGTGAGCTCTTATGCAGGTCTTTTTTGTTCAAGATTTAATTGCTGACTGATTGAGCCTCAGCTGTATGTTCTGAGAATGTTTTGCAGTGTTTTGTCAGTCGTGCCCATAAAGTGTTTTAGAAGAGCACAGTACACACAAATGTTTCTTCTGAAATATTTTTTTTTTGAAAAGTTGCTTGTCTTTTAGGTGCAGCAGTTGCAAGGAGTTTACAGTTTACATGATCCTCATTTCTGGACCCTCTGTACAGATGTTTACATAGGGACACTGAAATTACTYATAGCTCCTGATGCTGATGCAAGGTGGATTCTAAGCCAGACTCACAACATCTTTACTCAGGTATGTCTCATCAGAAGAAATCACACACATGTCCAAGTGTGTGCATCACCTTTCTCGTGATGTAAAATAATTCTTGTCCAATCTGTTTTTGGTATAAGTGTTGAAAAGTTTATTGCTGTGAAGATTCGTTTCTGAAATCTCATGTAGCACAGCCAGAATTGCTGCACCTCTCTGCAGCTTGCTGGAGAGGCACCTCAGACAGCTACAGCTGTTATCAAATAAAGGTGAAGCCCTATACTGACCACCAAGAAAAGAGCTGAGGGTTCCCTGCAGGTGACACAGGCTGGCCCTACTTCCTGTCACTCACTGTGCTGATGCTGCTTTTGTCATTCATTGCCCTCCCCTAAGGAGCCAAGTTCTTTGCCAGTTTTGTGCTGTCTCCATGCTGTCTCCATGCTGTCTCCATGCTGTCTCCATGCTATTCAACAGTTAAACAGCAGTTGCAATCTTCTATATCACCAATGTGCTCTCTGTTATTTTCTTGCAAAACTTGATTATCTTTTATATAAAAAGGACATATTTGATAGCATTTGAAGCTGATACGGTAAGCTGGAATTCTTGTGATGAACAGAAATCTTATTTCTAAGAAGGTTGATAGCAGCCTAAAGATCAGAATGCCAACATTCAGTCATTTCCTTTTTCTGTTACTCCCTCATATATTAAAAATCCACAATTCACTTTAGCTACCTCCTCAAGCACAGGTACTACATATCAGTGGTCTACAAGCATAATGCAGAGTCTCTTATACATGATAAATCTAAGGAAGGCCATTTAAACCTTCTTTCCTACAACTTTAGAGAGGAGAAATGCTTTGATACAGTTTACACACATATATGGTTACCAAAAGTTGTTTTGTCATGTCAATTCACTGTAGCCATTCATGTTTCTTGCTGAAAATTTAATATAGAACAGGTTCAAACCACAAATCTCATGTTATGTTCTTATGCTTTGCTTCATTTTAAACTGCTGGCTCTTCAAGCAGGTAACTTTTCAGGCAGATAAAATTGTACAAAAGAAAATAATCACAACTGATTAGCTTTGGTTATTGTTAGGCAGTTGTTACTTAGGATGAATCATAGTTGTTTAACAGTTTGTAGATTTGCAAATTGCTAGTAACTCGGTGCCTGATTTACCAAATGTGGGAGCTGCCTTACAGAATAATGAGATAATAAGTTCCTGTTTAGGTATCTTACTCGTGTGAACTGATGCTTGGGACAGCTGAATTGCTTTGGCTTTTCAGTTTCCTTTAAGCTTTCCTTTTCCTCTCTGCAGGCAGGAGTAAGACAGCTTTACGTACAGATGGATGTTGCAGCCATGTAGTCAATTTCTAAAATTGTGCTGTTGGACCAAAGTTTCCTGTACTGTATATACTTCTCAAGACAGTTGCCTCCACCACTGTTCCAGAATTGACTGAATAGACTTCTGCCTTTGGGCTTCTGATGGAGTTCACTTCTAAGGAGTAAATATTGAATGAATGTCATGGACTTTGGTTCTTGTCTTTTTGTGGCCCCTAAGTCTGTAAGTTTTTGTGGGTTGTTTTTTTTTTTTACTTACCATCTTTGTTCCAATAGGAAACTAACATTGTGGTACTGGAAACCCTGTCATGTCACTTCAGTGAAGTTGCTGAAACCACTGCTCATTCCCATAAAACCAGTGTTATCAAAAATTGGAAACTTGTTTTGTACATAATGTCACAATGGCTGACATGTATCAGTAGAATTCTATGTTTGTACAATTGTTTGTACTTTGCAAACTTAATGAACCAAACCATATTGGGTTTTCAAAGTGCCTTTTATATCAGAAGTATTTGCCAGCATAGGTATGGAACATCAGARGGTTTCATTACTTTTACAATCTATCTTGTATGCAGTCTGATATTTACTAGTGCTGTACGTGGGGGGGGTTGTGTACTTACGTAACTGTTGATGTTAGACTTCCCTTACTCTCATATCTTACCAAACAAACAGAAAAATGATAAATGTAAAAGGCAAAGCTTTTGTGAAGTGACAAAACAAACTGCCTACTTTGTTGCACATCTCATGGAAATCATTTTAGTCAAAGCATTAGACTTAGATCCAATTTTAAATCTCTTTTCACTGTTACAGTAATGAAACATTACCTGATGCTACCATTTCACASTCACCGAAAGACAAGGTAGCTGAGGAGAGATGCTGGTGACAGAAGCAATGCCTGAAGCTTTTTATCTTCCAAATTGTGCAGGGAAAAGCATTAAAACACTAAGTTATTTGAAAACTTAGTCTCCTCAATTTTAATAAACTGTAGAAATTTTTATTAGAGATTGAAATAGCTGTTGCCCTTTTAAATACTGAAAAGAAGTGTTCCCATGGCTATACCCGAAAAATAAATGAGAACCACTTTTCATGCTATTTAAAATAATGCTTTTTTGAAGTGGACAAATCTATTTTTTTTTATTTTTTTTTCTGTCTCACTGTAACTTTGTGTGTTTTTATCCAAATAAGTCTTTTCTCAATGCATCAAATCTTGTTCCAGAAACATTAGTCAACCATATTTTTCTAGCATTTACTTTCATTTTAAATTTTCAGATTTGGGTGATGTTTTTGAGGACAATCTGCTAGACTTGGTATTACACTTAATGATACTATGAAATTGCAGTAGTTACCTTGGAAATGAAAGATTTCAGAAATGGACATTTTGCAAACAATATTGTGCAGTAAAATAAGATGAAAGCATTCTTATGAAAATTCACAGCTGCTACTTATTGGTGTGGGTTTTAGATATTCTTTAGATATTCTTCTGGTATGTGATATGGGGAAATACTGAGATTGACAATGTCTGTATAGTAATTGAGAGGTGCTMTGAAAATATCCAAGATTCTTTTGCAGAAAGTGTTTCCTACTGTGATACTGCTGAAATCATGATAGAGCTTTTTTTTCTTGCATTTGTTTCTGTCATTCCTATACAATATCCTAATTCTGATCTTTTTCACGTAAAAATGATGATAACTGTTAAATTGATACCTGAACTCAACATATGATATATGGGAACATGATTGTTTGGTCTGTTCACCTTGCAACTGAGCTGAAAATTGTGTGCAAAGAAATAGAGCAGTAAAAAGTCACGTACCTTTTTGAAGCTTTACAGGTCCCTTCTCCCACACACATCCCCATCTTCAGTCCCTTCTTTATCCCTGTTCCTGGTTAGTGACACTACTCCATTCTCTTGGGAATGCTGCTGCTCTCTTCCCTGTCGCTCTCCTCCGGCCTCACGCGGTGCCAGCCCTGCAGGGGAGGGGAGGGGAGGGCAGCAGCACAGGGTGTGTTTCAAGTCTAGGTGTTCAGAAGTACTGTAGTGCCACCTAAGTTGTTAGGCCTGGCCATGACTTGTAAATTAACAAACTTTTAAAATTTAAACTCTTTCACTTCATTTGTTGTAAGCTGATTACAATCACAAAAAATAGTTTCAATCATGTAGTGGCTATGGGGACTTCTTATCTGACTGCTGGAAGCGCATGCAGGTCTGGATTTTCTACCAAGATAGTATGAAAACATCAAGCCATCCTTAAAAGTGCTGAAGCAAGTTTGAAGATAGGTTTCATTTGTTAAATGTAACTGAGGGCCATATATGGAAGCCAGTTTCAAGGCACACTTAGCATTTTAGCCTTTCTGAAAAAGGTATCAACAGATTCTACAATCTATATGCACTAATTAAAAATAATCAAACCTAGAAAGTTAGTAAGTAGATTGACATCTGATATTTTTCCCCTACCTGCTTTGGTTGCAGGAGTCTACAAATCATGCAGTTGAAGGTGAAATCTTTCATATCTTGAACATTATTTTGTGTTTTGCTAATTATGTAATATTTTGCTTATTGTAAAACACTTTAACATGTTAATTGTGTATTCTGCACTATTTTTAACTACACTTAAGCAGTTGAGCAGCTTTCAGAAACTGCCAGGCAACAGAGTTCTGCTTTCAGGGCAAGATGGCAGACTGACAGCAGTATACTAACTGCACTGCACTGACAGCATATACTAACTTTTGATCCAAAGATTGCATCTCCCATCACTGCGTACTGATGGGGTCTGGAAGTACACAGCATTTCATTGCACACTGAGTGCTTTGGCAAGGTAGAGTTTGGTTCTCCTTATGTGCATAAATTTTCACTCAGAATCTGCACAGAAATGTGCTTTTATAGATAGCACTGTAGGGAACTTGTGTATGTCTCTGACACCCAAATGTGCTTGAAGAAACCTTTTCTAATTATCAGCTCTAAACTGYCTTTGTAGGTTCTGTTCTTACTGCCTGTCAGCCTGTAGACGAAGGCTCTGAGGTCTAATTGGAGTTGAGGTGCTCTAGGACCATGGGCAGAGGGGGGAGAGGTGCCCATGCCRCACAGGCGCAGCCCGGCTCGTAGGGCAGAGCTCCAGCTCCACTCATCGCTTGCGCTGGACCAAATGTTTTGTCACTCGGGTGAATCCCCTGACCGCATCTCACAAGAGCCAGAAGATGGACACTTTACAGCCATCATCCCTACACTGCATGTCTTTAGGACTCACAAGAGGCTATTTAGCTACATAAGCTGTAAGTTGTGCACTGTGATGGCTGATGACCACAGTTATTTAATTAAGGGGTATGAGCRGTGCTTACACTGGAAAAGGCTGCACAGCTACAGCCACCAGATGGAGACCTTTACAACAGCTTAGCCTAGAAAACAGTGGCTGCTGTGCWTGTGCATCCCTAGTATCAAAGGTTAGAGTTGTTAGCACAAGTATTCAGGAACTGTTTCTGATGTAATGCGGATGTTCTGTTTGCAGGCTAACACATGGCAAAGCTCCATCAGGTGCTGCTTTCTGCAGCTAAGAAGCACATGGGGTTACAAGGTGTGCTAGAACAGCCCTTTCCTGCCAAGGAAGTGTCAGATTAGAAGGGACATTCTGTACCACAAAGACTGACCATAGCAGTAGAGGAGAACAACCATTGTGTTTTTGTCCAGAGATGCATCTGTGTTGCTGCATCTATTCCCACTTTCTTCTGATTAAGATGCTCAACCTGATATTGATGTCTTGGGGATAGAAACTACCCATTTTTATGAATATGCAAGTTCTTATTCCTAATCTATTTTTCCTTAATTAAAAGGAAGGGTGAAAGAGGAAACAAATTAATATAAAACCAGAATTGTTTGGCAGGAACTCCAGTTTGAATAGAAGAGTCATTCTGTGGCCTGCAGAAAAATACTTACACCTCTCAGTTCCTCCACTAGTAAAACTTAGCTACTGGTTTTAGATGAGTTTGATGGAGTCTATTTTGTCCTTTTAGGTTTAGAAATGATCTGTTTCTTCCCAGACTCCTCTGTCCCCTCTTTCCTCTGTGTGCCCTCTCTAAGGGAGACAGGTAGCACTGAGCATCAAATAGTAACTGTATTAACAAGGTTGCTCAAATTCTCAGCTGTTTTATACAGTGGAAGACTAAAAGGAATGGCAGCATAACAAAATGGGAGAACAGTTTTAGCAACATTGTAAAACAAAACCTAAATGTAGTGCTGTGGAAGCTATCTGACTTGCATGCCCTTATTTATCCTACAGCAGATATTCACACAACATGATGAAATGATACTTAGGGCTGACAAGAACTAGCAGTTCAAGTGAATGATTCCTGACCAGTTACTCTTGGCAGAAGAGCTAAGTCCCTCCCAGGTAGCTGCTTTTTTTGGTTCTGAGCAGTAATAATCCTCAAGAGCCTCAACCAAACTTCAGGAAAATCTACACCAGTCTTCGCTTGCAGTAGAGATGGGTTTGGATTTGACTGTATTCACAGGAGGTTATGTAAACCAGGAAAACCTCCCCATCTCTAGCCACTGGAAACTGCCTTGATCACTGCCTCGTTAATAATAAAATACTGTCAGTAAACTAGAAGTTAGTTTATCTAATATCTTTATTTCACTSGGGGCAAGTTTCCTTAATCAGAAAGCCATGTGACATTAACCAGTCCCCACAGAGCTGCCACAAAAGGCCCCCACGTTTGTTTAACAAAACCTGCCTCGTGTGAAACCACACTGACTGGCATTTGATGTATGTTTAGCRTCTAGTTCTTTGTTGATAGAGTCTTGGGTTGACTGTCCTGTGACTTTTAGCAGAACTGACATCAAGCAAACCGCTCAGTAGTTTTCTGGGTCACCTTTTTACCCTGTTTAAATACTGAAATAGGACTGGCAACCCTACAAATGTAATATTTTCATTTTTCTTAAGGTTTTGTTAGATGTTAACACTAACAGTTCTACAGGCCATTCCAGAAGACAGTGAAATTCACAGTAGCTGGCCAACAAATGTCTTTGTTTCCCCCACCTTCCCGTTTGGCCTGTATTTTTAACTTCACTGTTATTTAGCGTTAAGAGAAAAGCAACACATGAGGTGCAGAGAATTAGATTTAATGCATTTGTGGGTTTGTGTTTTTTGTGTTTTTTTTATTTGTTTTTATCTTTTCATTGAAACAACTGTAACTTCAAAAGTTGGATTGTAAATAGTCTATAAGTGGAAAATAGCAGCCCATGGATCTAACTGAAAACTCTAAGGTTAGGTGTGTTGATGCAGTGGGACAATAGAACATCTGGGAAGAAATACAGGTCCTTGTTCCATAGTCTGATTAAACCCACATGAGTGAGAATAAACTAATCTCCTTTAATATGCAGTGGTCTACACAATGGCAACCAAAAGGGGCAATTACTACAAGTTCACTATAAAGGGCTGTGCAATGTATATTAAGCATTACATATGCTACAAAACCTGGAAATCCTRCTGCTGTGACATGTGCTGGCACATCAGCCATTCATAAAGGTAATCTCCTTTTTGTACCATTCTTTCAAGAACAGTACATTGTTCTTCATGAACAAARCCCTCCACTGTCTGGTGCTATTTAGCACACCTGACAATTGCTGACCAAACACTTAGAGTTGTCAAGCCTCACTTTTTATAACTAGGAACCCAGTATTTATAGTGATAATTATAGTTGTAGTTCCAGAATTCAGGTTTAGCTGATCATGTAAGTGTCAATTGAATGAATGAATAAAGGAATTGCAATTGCAAACACCAACCGCTCCGAGTTCCAAAAAAGCTAGATCAGCAAAAATACTATCCCTCAACCAACTAGAGAAAAAAAAAAAAACACGAAAAAGCAAAGAAGCTATCATAATTTTTAAGACAATTTCAAAATGTGGGTTACTTACTTGATCCTTGAGCACTTCATYATAAATTATAGATCTTGTGATGTAAATTCTGCAGCTCTTTCTCCCCAAAATATTTCAAGATCATCTTGAAGACACCTGCAGCAGAAGAGAACGCAGATGGCTCATTTCTGTTCATTGTGGTGTATTTCCTGGTAGGTAACTCAAATGCAGGAATTTTTAATCCTTTTCTAATC